GAAACTGCATTATCAGTGATGATAACATGTCTTGCTTTATTTTCTTTCAATGAGATGCTTACAGGGAGTCTCTCTGGAGAGAGGCTCTTCACAAGGGCCTGGAGTGACAGGACAAGGGGGAATGGCTTCCCACTGACAGAGGGGAGGGTTAGATGGGATGTAGAAATGCCTTTTTTCTTCTTTTAAAGATACTTTTATTGTCTCAACAGAAGCAGGATGTTATTCAGACACAGCTGTTGCAGTGGGGGGAAAGGGAAGGAGGAAAGGGCTTATGGATCAAATGATGTTTGAAATAGGGTCATGGAATGGTTTGGGTTGGAGGGACCTTAAGGATCATCTTGTTCTACCCCTTGCCATGGGCAGGGACACCTCCCACCAGCCCAGGTTGCTCCAAGCCCCGTCCAGCCTGGCCTGGGACACTTCCAGGGATCCAGGGGCAGCCACAGCTTCTCTGGGCAACCTGTGCCAGGGCCTGCCCACTCTCCCAGCCAGGAATTCCTTCCCAAGATGCTATCTAACCCTGCTCTCTGGCAGTGAGAAGCCATTCCCCCTTGTCCTGTCACTCCCTTCCCTCCCTAAACATTCCAGGGTTCCGTGATCTCCTGAAAGGTTCTCTGAGAGGAGTCAGAGGCTTCTGGCTTCAGATCAGAAATCAGATCTCCCTTGGTCACCTCCAGGCATTTCCATCCTGGAGACAGGAAGGAAGGGAGCTCACTAGTTGGGAAGCAGGAGGCGCTCATGGAGGAGCTTGTTTGTGTCTGGGATTCACAGGAACACTTGAAGCGCTTCCGCGGCTCCGGGGGCAGTCGGGTCTCCCTGGCAGAGCACCTGTGGTTTGCAGCTCTCAGACCTCACCAAGTGCTTCTGTCTGGCCCAGATGGTCTCATCTGGAGGATCTGAATTCCCAGAGAGCCAGAGGGGTCATCAGTCCTTCATCAGCTGCAAGGATGAGGGAGAGGACCCTGGTCCTGCCAGTGACCTGAGCACGTGGGGAGGCAGCGAGTCCAGTGGGACCAGGAATAGCTCCCAGCTGCCATCTGTGCTCTATAACAGGGAACAGGTAGGAATAAGAGATGGGTTTGTGTTCTCCTGGTCTTAAAACCTCCTTGTGCCACACACAAAGGCTTCACACAAAGGCACAACCCCGAGGGTCAGCGAAGCCAGGACAGCAAGCAGAGAATTTGAAGAATTTTGCTGGTTTATCTGTTTTTTTGGCTTTTAATTGGAAGCTGCTCCAGGTGGGAACAGCCTCCATCCAACCCCTTTGGTCCCAGCCAGTGCTCCAGCAGGTCATGGCCACCCCAGGACTGCCCATTGCAGAGGGACATTCCCAGAGGGAAGTAAAGCAGCAGAAAATAGGAGGAGGGAAGGAAGGGGAGGGAAATGAGCTGCCTGGCTCCTCAGCTGGTACCAAGGCACAGCCTGTTTGCTCACCCAGAGCAGCCCTTTCTGTTGGGAAAGGAAATAAAGCTGTTTCACATGTGCTGAAGGAGGGGAGGGAGGATCTGCAGCCCCCACTCCCCCAGCCCCAGACCTGCATCTGCACTTGAGGGAAGGCTCAGCGGGCTGCTGTAAATATTTAGTAGTATCTATGGGCTAAAAATAGCTCTGTCTCTACATGCAGCAGCTCCATTGCCATCTCTGGTGAGTAATAGTTACAGCCCCGTGTAAAGTGTTTGCAGAGGAGCCCCAGGAGCCCCTCACACAGCCCTGCTGTGGGGGAGACCCCTGGATGTGGGATTCAGCCCCTCCACCTCTGGGTTTGCTGCTCCTTTGCAAGGGCTCAGCCTGGGGATCTGGGGTTGTAAACGGGATTTTAAACCTTTTGTTCCAGAGGCTGCTGTGAATCCCTTTGCCTGTCAGGGGAGCCCAGCAAAGGGCTAGAAGGATGCTGCTGCTCTTCCTGGGGGAGTTGGAGGGGGAGAATGGTCTGTCTTTGTGTTTGTGCTGATGTTTGAGGCAAGCCAGGAGCTAACCCTGCGCTTGGAACACTCCCCTCTCTGCAGGGTGATGTGATGGGGATAGAGGTGCCCACCACTGTCTGCCCTGGCTGAGATCCTCGCAGCTCCACGTGCTGGGGGGTTCCCTGGGTCTCCGCTTCCTTCCACATCCCTGCAGGCACTTCCCGGGTTCCCTCCGGAGGGGTGAACCCCCCCGGTGCCCACATTCCTGCTGGGACACCCTGCGATGGGCAGAGGGGAGAGCGCTGAGTCCGCACAGCTCGGGACATGCCGGGGTTCTGGGGTTGGGGGAGCCCGGGCGGGGCCGGTGCTGTTCCCCCGCTCAGCGCTGTGCTGCGGGTTCCTGCCGCCCTCTGCAGTTGTTCCTGCTCGCTGGAAATGCAGAACGAGCCATCTGAAGGGGCGATTTTGCTGGTGGTGACACAAGGGAGGTGACATTTGTGTGTCTTCCCGGGTTTGGAGGGACATCCCGAGCTCCTGAGCCCCCTCAAATCCTGCCCGACAGACCCCTCCTGGAGCTGTTCCCGGCTCAGGGTGACCTGCTCCTGGATGTGTCTCTGGCACCCAGGTGATGGTGTCACCCCCGCGGTGTCCCCAACCCCCTGTGGCAGCAAAGCCTCTGCCCACCCCTGTCTGTGGGGCAGCAACGGGGATGGACAAGGATCCCAACCCCAGTTTTAATGGAAATGCTGGAAAGTGCAGCAGCTCCTGGGGAGTCACCTCCCTGTGCCCCCAGCAGGGACCCGTTCCCTGAGGAACTGGGAATATTCCTGAGTTTAGACCTGCTTTTGGGGCAGATCCATGTTCCCCAAATTGCTGGGATTCCCTGAGTTTAGACCTGCTTTTGGGGGCAGATCCATTGCTGGGATTCCCAGGCTCTGAAGAAGGACATTTGACCTCTGTGCTCCAGCACAAAGCCCTTGGAACTGGTGATCCCAAGGCACTGCAGAACCAGGGCAAGGCCTCTTATGGTCACCAGACCACCCCATTCCCAATTCCCCAAGCCTTTGTCTGAGCTGGGAATGCCATTCTGGTGGAGCAGGCAGAGCTGTGCACAGGCACCAGGCACCTCATCCAATATATCCACATATCTCGTGGTCACAGGACCCACAAACCCTCCTTGCTGGCTCAGATATCAGCATTTCTGAGGAGAAAATATCATCCCCCGTGCTGGACAGGAGGAAGGAAAGCAGATTCCAGGAAAACAGCCAACAGATAACGCAGTTCCTGCTCTCCAGGGCATTGAACTCCCTGCAGTTCACCTGCCTGGAAGCCTCCCCAGCAGGGGTTGGGTGCAGGACACGTGTCCCCCCTGTCCTGGCACAGGGACAAACATCTGTCCCTCCCCTCTGGACTCACAAAGCTGGACAAGCTGCCAGGGCAGGGAAATTCCCTGTACAGGGACTCCTGGGGAGAGAAAAGTGGAAAGAAGCGCCTTGGATCTACTAAATTAAAAAACAAGTTTGCTTTTCCTGGATTGCTTTGTTTTCCACCAAGGTGACGGGTCTTGGTCTGATAAAGCCCTTCCCTGGCAGTTTTCCAGGTGTGACAGGGACAATTCCTGCCTGAATCCTCTCCTGTTCTTTCTCCATGGGGTTTTCACTCTTGGTCCCAATTAATTACTCCAAATGTTTCCTAAAGCCTGAGTTGGAATGACTCTTTGTTTCACCCTCTGCCAGCCCCAGGAGCTCTTGCTCTGGACAGGCTGTTCCTGGGACATTTGTACCCTCAGGAACACGGATCCGGTGAAATGCCGTGGACACACAGCAGAGATGGTCTCAAAAATGGCATTGTATCCCTGAAATGAGGGTTTGCCACACATGCTGGCCTGGTTGGACCTCAGCTGTTCAGTGTTTCCAGAAAATTGCATCTTTTGATCGTCAAAGCAATCCAGAAAACCCCCATTTCAGTTGTTTTAGGATTTTAAACCAGACCTGGGCTTCTCAAGGAGCTCAGTTCAGCAATGAGAGTACAAAGGGGTTTGAAATTCAGCTAAAATTTAATAGAAGCTGAGTAACTGAAGTTAAGAAAAGCAATTTTCCACGTGTGTTGGAACTGAGAGTTCTACAGCTGGGCAGAAATCTGTGGAAAAGTGGGATTGTTCTCTCCCCCACCCTTTCCCCCCCTTTTTAATGCCTTTTTTAGGGTAATTTGGCCCTGGGATGGGGCAGGGGAGGAGCCCTTGCTGGCACAGCTGTGCCATGGGGCAGTTCCCTGCTTTCCAAAGAGAAACATGCCCCTGTTTATAATGCTGGGGTCCAGTCCAGCATTCCATGCCTCCAGGAAGGCTTTATGGGGATTATTAAAATGGTTACAAATCCCTGAAATCAAACCAGATGTTTGCACTGAGCTCCAAGGATTTCTCACCCTTGAACCAAACACAAGGGACTCAGTTCCCAAAATCCCTCGAGAGCCACTGCAGCACATCCTGGACTTCACTGCCCCTGGGAGAAGGGCAGCTGGGAGGGCAATGCTTGCCTGATTCCCCAGGGAAAGGTAAATCCACGGGCAGATCCACGGCTGCAGTGGGAACAATCCCTGAGGAACTTCTGCAGGGAGGAACCTGTGGCAGCTGGAAACGTTGTGGATGCTCCAGGTAAGATCAGGGAGGGAGCAGCACCAAGGAACAGGGAACCCCAAAAGGAACAGGGCCGTGGGAAGCAGAGGAATGAAGGGCTGTGGGACTCTCTCACCTTCCACACCGCAGGTAACTCACCAGAAAAAGCAGGATCAAAGTGACAAGATCTTGGCCACAGGGAAATTTTACCCCCAGGGTGGTTATAAAGCAAAGCCATCAGAATTAGAAATGTATTTAAGGGGGGAAAACAGCCCAAATATTTAGCAGGAATAGTGTCCCAGTGAAAATCTCTCTGTTCTAGTCCAGTCTCTTGGCTCCAAATAATTTTTCTGTATTAATTTCAGCTTTAATGTGTTTGTTGAAGTTGAATAAAATGAAGAAGGGAATCTTTCGTTCTCTAACAGAAGTCTAAACTTAAGCTTAAAGAAAAAAACCAACAATTCAGAACCCAGAAAGCAGCATTTCATTACAAGAATCTGCTTTATTTTTTTACAGTGTAGTAACTGAAACAATGTAGAAATTTAACTTGCAAAACTGTATTTATATCACAATGTCTCTCAGAAGGCAATGCAGACATGTTGCTTTTTATCACCAAATATTCCTCTGGACACCAGAAATTCCAAGCCCTCAGCGCTATACCCTTCATTTAGAGACTGATTCCTCATAATTTAAATCTATCTTATAAAACAATTTCTTTTTTTTTTTTTTTAGAAAAACACGTGGAAGGAAGGTACAAAGAACTCAAGTATTAAACCCAAGGCCTTGATTATTATTATTATTATTATTTCTTCTGCAGGCAAAGCTGTCCTCAGGAGCACCCCAGGGGCCCTACTCGGGCTCGGTGACGCACTGCTCCACGATCTCCCGCAGCGTCGGGTTCTCCATCGCCGCCGCCACCCGCTCCTTGTCGTTGATCTGCTTGTTGACTGCAAAACAGGCCAGCGAGAGGCAGCTCAGGGGGCTCCAGGGGCAGGGGGCACGTGGGGATGGGGGTGCTCAGGAGCAGGCAAAGGCAGAGGGTTAACAGGGAAAAGGGGAACAAGGCCAGGGGAAGCTCAGCCGCGACCAACCAGCAGGAATCGGTCGCTCCTGACACTTCCTCTAGTTTAGGGAAAAGAACTTCAGATGCTCTAATGACACGTCTCAAAATTTAGTGTGAAAATCATGGCAAATCAGGAGTCTGACTCCTCCAGGTTCAGTTGCTAAGTTACCTCACCAAAATAACCAATTTCTGCCAAAGACACCCCGTGCTCAAGCCTGGGGCACCGCTGGCAGGGGCTCTGGCAGCTCTGGGGGCAGTGCCCGGCTCTGTCAGTGCCCATGCCCTCAAGTTTCACTTCAAGCACTGGCTGAGAAACACGTGGTTTTTGTTATGAATATTTCAGGACAGCAAGCCAGTCGGTTCTTCATGTCAATTATTCAGCAGCAACTTCTTTTGCCGCAAGCACAACTTAACACCTGCAAGGACTGCGCTGAGAAACCAAACCAGCAGCCAGCCCTGGTCACAGAGCCACCACAGCTTTGGGAACAGCCTCGAGGATTGGATTTAAAGGCTTTCCCAGGGTATCAGCTCCTGGAAAGGACGGGAAGGCAGGGGAGGGAAGGACTCAACCAGCACCAACAGGCTGCAGCAGCTCATTGCCAAGCTCTCTACTCACTGTCCTCTTCGGTGGAATGTGTGCCCTCAGATATGTAGATTTCCAGCTGGAGGAGAGATCAGCAATGTTAGAAGAGTCACAACAGCTGAATTTATTCACTGCTGGAAGGAAAAGCTTGTCCAGGGCACACACAATGGATGTCACTCCTCCTGAGAAACAGGGGATCCATGGAAAGAGCTGACCCTGGACTTCACTGCTACACAGCCACAACACAGGCTCCCCGTGAGACACTGCTGACAATCTGCTCAGGGATGACACTCCCAGACAGTCTGTTCCTGCATGGAACAGATTATGGGACTGCACCTAAACCACCTCCAGCATTTACCAGGCCTGGGAAGAACAACAAACCCCCCTGACACAGGCTGGAGGGCAGGGAGGTCTCCTGAAAGGGATGTACCCAAAGGAACCAAGGGGAAGAAAAATCAGCTCCTGGCTGACAGCAGAGCAGGTCATGCCCTGCCCTGCAGGCTCTCTGCCAGAGGTTGTCTCTCATCCATGCACTTCAAAACAGGTTTCAAAGCAGGTACTCTACCTTGTGTCTGAAAGGCAAACATCTCTGAAGTTTTATTCTTAGACAAAGGCCTGTTAAAACAAAACAGAGATTTCCTTGTAAAATTCCAGGTTGAGGAGCATTTTCAGAGAATCCATATTTAACAATCAGTATAACTGACAACCTCCTTTTGTATTCTGAGCAGCACAAGCCACAGAGGGACTGAAGAATTTGTGGTTTGACCCCTTGGACGCAGCTTTTCAGGTAAGTTCACACCTGCCTGACAAGCTCGGAGGTCTCTGGTCTCTCATCACCTCCTAGAAACACTAAATAGAGACAAATTCCTCCCTTTCCAGCTTGCTTTGGCATTTTTGATAGAGCTCCCCAGCTGTCCCTGAGGCTGCAGGTGCACTGAGGGGAATGCTTGGTTTGTTTTTAATAGTTGTTTAAAAAAAATAATATAAACTATTTGGGCATAGGTACATCAGTTTCCTCATTAAACTAGAGACTTGATTTCCCTTAAATCTTCAAAACACACCAGAAGTCTTAGTTCTGATAATTAATGGTAAGACTTTCCAACCTTGGCACATTTAAACAAATCTTGTCAGAGCTCTCAGATGGGATTTTTCAGATGAAATCTCACCACAAATCATAAGGGAAAAGTAAAAAGGCAAAACAGGCCAGTGTAAATTCTCATTCAGCATAATTCCCTTCCAACTCCTGATGGTTCAGGACTTTTTTGGGGATTCCTGGATTGCATGTGGGAATTTTTGGTGTGTGGGAATGGAGAACAGCCCACAGGGAAGGGACTCAAGCATTAAGTTAAAGGTTTTTTAAATTTAAGAGCTGACCAATTTTTAATTTAACGTTGCTGAAACAAGGTGGCCAATACAAAGAAGGAATTCTGTACCACTTCCCAGGAGGTTTCTGAGAGGTTCTTTTTGAGGAGTGTCCCTGGCTGGATACAAACTGATGGGTTTCCCCTCATTTCTCTGGATCTGGGTCTGGTTTGGGGTTTTTGGTCTGTTTGCACTGCTAGCTGGGCTCTCAAGATGCAGTTCCTGGTCAAACCAACACAGCAGCACAGGGCTGACCCTGAACTAACACTGGTGTTCCTCAGCCCCCCCAGTGACCCCCCTGCTCGTGGTGTCCAAACCTCACCGATGAGAGTGGCCAAGGAGCAATGAGGTACTGTTGGTGTAAACCTGATGACGACCAGATACTCCTCCTCTCCTATCTCCTGCACCTCCACACCACCTTCTGTCACCACTTCCAGTTCTTCCAGAGTGTTTGGCTTCTCCGGGTCCCGGATGGTCCGGATTATGTCTGAAGCAGAAGGCAAGGGAGCAACAGTAAAGCAGCTTTCCAGGATTTAATGAAAGGTATTTTCACTCTCAACCACCTTCCCAGCACTGTTTGCTTTGCCCCCCTCTGGAAGGGGCAGAGCTGTAAATACCAGGGACACTTTATCTATCTCACAAATTCCTTCGGGACGGGACAAACTGAGGCGTTTGTTTTTCACTGTGGGTTTGTTTTTCATGTTCCATTAGTTCTGATTTAGTTCAGCAGCACTTCAGGGGTTCCTCTGCTCTTTCAAATCTAATTCTATATGGACAGGTGCTTTATTCTGCAGAGGTCATGGACAAGCCTGACCCTGTGCATGAACCAAAATCCTCAGGATTTGCTTCCCTGCTCAGGTTCATAACCTGAGTTATGAGCAATAACTTTTACTTAGGGCCACTGATGTTTTACAGTAGCTCTACTTAAGCCACTCAAGCTTTAAAACTGAGTTTGTTTGACATTGTGTCCTCTTTTATTCTTTTTACATCGAGCTGTGAAGTGCTGCCCAAACCCCACTCCTCAGCTCTCTGAACTAAGAGTGCCCTGAGGCTGGACAAGGTGTTTGGAATGGAACTTCCAGCAGTGCAGTCTCTCCCCACTGTACAGAAACAGTCAGTGACAGAAGTCTCGCTTTCCCTGGATCCACTGATGACCACCTTGGCAATCCTGGCCCTTCCAGGTGTGTCCAGCTGCTCCTGTCTCAGGTGAGGAAACATTCAATGGTGCCCCCAAGGCAGGGGCTGAGCTGGGCAGCGATCCAGGCCTTTCCCAGCCTCTGGGAGCATCCTCCACTCCAGAGGGGCAGGGAGACACTTCTCCCACACTCCTGGCCCGGGGTCCCCCTCACTGTGAGCACCCCTAGGGAACCCCTTCCCACCTGATTCCAATCCCCAAGCGAGCCACATAAACGTTCCTCTTGGCCCCCATGGATCACAGCCCCTCCTGCTCCCCATGGATCACAGCCCCTCCTGCTCCCCATGGATCACAGCCCCTCCAGCCCCCCGGGGACCCTGCGGGTGCTCCTCCGCTCCAAGCTCCCGGGCACGGCTCCCACCACGCGGCTGGGCAGGCAGGGAAGGACAGGGAGGGGATCGCTCCCTTCAGCCCCCCCAGGGCACAGCAGGAACCCCCCTAAAATCACCCCCAGCCCCCGCCCCACAGCCCCTCACGGCCCCGGCCCCCTGGCAGTCACCGTAGACCTCGATGGCCCTGTCGTGCTCCATGGCGCGGCTCGGGGGCGCATGGCCGGGGCTGTGGCCGGGGCTATGGCCGGGGCAGCCCCAGAGCCGGCCCAGCGCCTGCGAGAGCAGCGCCCGCAGCAGCGCCATGGCCGCGCTCCGCCATCGCCGGCCGGGGCGGGGCCAGGGGGCGGGGCCAGCAGGGATTGACCAATGGACCGGCAATGGGATGTGCTGGGCCCGCTGAGGGGGCGGGGCGAGCATGTGGACCCGCCCCCTCGCGCTGTCCTGGGTGGGAACAGAGAGACCCCCGGGACAGAGAGAGAGACCCCCGGGACAGACCCTGGGACAGAGAGAGAGACCCCCGGGACCCCCAGAGAGCCTCGGCTCGGGGGCACTGCGGGATTTGAGCAGCTTCCGTGCAACCCACAGTTCCATCCGCAACGCCGATCAAAGGAAGAGGCAGAGACAGACAATTCTTCTTAAAGACACGGGAAATTCTGCTTAAAGATAGGAAATTAAATATACAGGGAACTCTGCATACACAGCGAATCGCGCTCACAGACACGAGCGACACCGCCCCGGCCCTCGGGCCACACGAAACTACATCTCCCAGCGGGCATTGCCGCCCCGTCCAGCGGCCCCGCGGCGCGGTGCGTGCTGGGAGTTGTAGTCCCGGCCCCGCACTGGGCGGCGCGGTCAGCTGTGCGGAAGGAGGAGCAGGAGCCGGAGGATGGAGGCGGCGATGGCCCCGCCGGAGCTCCGCGTGCTCCTGGCGCCCCGCTCCCTGGAGCCGCGGGGAGCCCCGCGGGACGCGGCCCGGGTGCGGCTGAGCAGGGCCCAGGACGCGCTGGGCACGCTGCTGGGCCCCGGCGGCATCTCCGTGGAGCCGCTGGCGGCGGGCGGTGCCGGGCGGGCCCGGGGCACGGCCCTGCCGGGGCGCTGGGCTGAGTAAGTGCGGGGACACCCCCGGTGCGGTGCTGCGGGCAGAGAACAGTCGGGGTGCGGGGGCTGAGGGGCTGCGAACCTGCCCCGGAACGGGACGGGCTCCGTGAGGCCCCGGCGCTGCAGGGGACGTCGTTTCACATCTCCTTCCTTGTTTAGCTGTGCGAGGGTTCACTGCGGGTGACCAGAAAGCCGAACGAAAAGGGTATTTTTGTCTGTCGAGTTGTCTCTTCGGCCCCCGCAGTGCCCCGAGCCCCAGTCCTGCCCCCCGTGGGTGGCAGTCGCTCACATGGTGTTTGTGATCTGCTTTAGTGGCTTTCAGAGCTGAGTCAGAACCGCAGGCACATTTTAATCCTGAGCATCTGCACTGTCGAGCAACAACCAGCGCTGTTCCCAGCACCAGAGTCACGGGATGGTTTGGATTGGGAGGGACATTAAAGCCCATCCAGTGGCACCCACCCAGGGCAGGTCTGAGACACGGGGGGAGTTTCTCAGCCCAAGCAGCAGGACAGATCTGGTGTTCTGGTGTTGGCAGGGACGGGGTTAAATGATGCTGCCCTTCATCAGTGCGTGGCCAGAACTATCAGTGTGGGAAATGTGAAAAAGGAGTAAATAAAGGCAATAATCCTTGTGAGTTTTGCATCTCCAGCTTCGTGTGGGAGAACACAGAAGATGAGGGTTTGGAAGAAAACAAGTCAAAACTCCTGGCTCTTGGACAAAGTCGTGGACTGTTTGTCTATGAACTCTCTGTAGAAGATGGAAAGTACAGCCTAAACTCCCTGCACAGTTGTAAGGAAGAGACACTTAAAAAGCTCCTCGAAGCTAAAAACATGAGTGAGTAAATTCCAGTGTGTTCCTCGTGTGAAACTGTTGCTGGTTCTGTTCTGCTGCACCTGCTGGGACAAATGCAGGCACTGGGGATTGAGCACTAGGGAAGTGTCAGGTACTTCCACACTGATTCAGGGTGATCAGCAGAATGAAGGGACTGGAAAAATAAAAGGGACATTTCTGTGTTCAAAGGTGACGTCAGTAGAGGGAATTAAACTGTTGCAGAGTCACGTGTTCGGGTGATATGAAATTAAATTTCAATAAAGCATGTTCCTGCAACCCTGCCCTCTCAAATTTCCCCTTTAATATTGGAACTGATGGGAAGAAAACAGAGACAGGGCTCCTCACTAACCCAGCAGAGACTGATTAAGTGTTTCACCTTATGTGTTATGATTAGCAAACATAGTGTACAGTTACACTTTGCAGGACCTTTGGTGTTAAACAGTCTCCCTCCCTAAAATATTTCTATTTCCAAAGTTTGTAGCTTTTATTTTCAGAGCTGACTGAAATATTATTTTGGGATGATTTTTTGTGTTCTTCACGGTATTGTCCACTTAAAAAGCCACATCAAAAATTTTAGGAAAGAGTTCTAAAATTAGTGACATAGAAAGTGAAATTTAAAACAAAACAAATCCCCCTCCCCAGTCCCAAATTTTTTTAAGGTGGTAGCAGAGGGAATGAATTTGAGCTGACATTTTGTTGGGGTTCCTTTGCAAATCAAAATTCCCAGCTGGCTGTAATGCTAAAATGTCTTTAAATTTACAGGTCTGCCTTCTGTTCTCTCTGTGAAGATTCTGTCCTTTGGAAACAACAAGTGCAAACTTCTGCTCAACCAGTTCATCCTTGTGCATCTAACCTTTCCTGGGGAAGACTCACCCTCAGAGACCTGTGACTGCTTCACCCTGGATTTGCCTCCAGAGGTTTTGGGGAGAATAACAGACTCCTACTTCTGCAGAGGGATCCTGTTCCTGTTGGACAGTGCTGGCTGGATTTGTATCCTTTGCAGGAGAGAGGAGCTCTCAGGGGAAATGATTGGGAAGAAAAAAGTTGTTTTTCTTTTCTGGGAGGGCTGAACAGAAATTTCTTTAGAGACATTTTAGGATCTGTTTTGAAGGTGCCTCCAAACAGGGTTGCGTTGCAAAGTCCTGGTTATTGCTGTGAAAATGCCATGGTTGTGTATCAAATGTTTCTCAGCACAGCCCTGGAAATCTGTTTCCCGCGGGATGAATGTTTTCCAGGGCAGGGAAATCAGGGTACCTTTTCCTCCCCACAGAACTGCCAGGACAGGTCACTCCAAGTACCACTGAACTCCTTTGAGGTGGCACAGGTGGCAGGTTTGGGCAGCACAATCCTCTGCTGATCCCAGCTGAGCTTGGAACGCTCTTGGAAAACAAAACACTCCCCCTGTTCTGTGGGGCAGAGCCTGGCCTGGACCACAAGTTACCCCAAATTCCCCATCTGCCCCTTCTGTGCAACTCCTCTGTTGGACCCTGTGAGCCCTTGGGGTTTTCCTTGACGCTCTCTGAAGATATATTCGACTGCTTTGATGGTGCCAGCTTAGGCAGGATCAGTGTGGCCCTGTGCCAGGGAGAGGGGCAGGCTGGGGGCAGGAGCCCAGCCCTGCCATCCCCCCTCACTGCCCTGAGGGTGTCCCAGGATCTCAGCGTGGCCGTGGTGCTCAGTGCTGCCCACTGTGCCCTCTCCCTGGGGCTCGACAGCTACTTCAGGTGTGTGGGTTCCTGAGGGAAGCTGTGGGTTCAGGCAACCTTTAATGGTGCCTGAGGTTGGTCCTGCAATAGGTGAGGTGCTGTCACCTTTTTATTGGGAGTTCTGGCCCCGTGGCAGAGCAGAAATTTCCTGTTTGTTTAAAGATTGTCCTTTACTATTTGCTCCAGTCTGCACTCTGTCACTTCAACAAAAGAAAATTTATCTATTAGCATCAATTTGTTTTAATTTATGTGTTTAATACACTAACAAATAGAAAACCTTTGTGTTGGACCCTGTTTTTCCTAGGAAGATTAGGATAGGCGCTCTCAGTGCTGAGGGTGGGTGACAGCACCTTTTAGAGATGCTGTGGGGTCTGGGGCTATTAAACTCCTGATACACCTGTGCTGATTTGGCTTGGTAAATGAAGGCCAAGTTGTAATTGAGAGGAAGGAGCACCAGGGTTTGATGGCTCACCTGGACACCTCCCTGGGAGTGCTGCTGACCTGAGAGGAAGCTGCTTTGCAGGCAGCTCCTGGAGGGGTTAGACAGCAAAAAAATCTCAAGGGGGAGGTGAAAATTAATATTTATTTCTTTACAGGCGGTTTCCTGAGCACTTGCTCTGTAAGAGAGATCCTGAAAGTCTTCCCATGGAGCCTCCTGAAGGGCTGGATGAGGATGAGCTTGGCAGTTCTGAGTACAGCATGGAGCTCCTGTCCTCACCTTTCCGCACGGACAGGTACTGAGGGAAAGCATTCCTGGGACAGGCCGGGCTTTGCTTCCTTCACATCAGGGATAATAAATCCTGGGGAGAGGGGGGTGTCAGTTGTAATTGGGATAAGCAAAATCAGCTCATTCTGCACTAAATAGTTTGAATTGAGGATGATGTTTGCAAATGGGCTGAGAGAACTTTACGTGTTTTGTAAGTTTAAAATGCATTTTATTTAAATGAGGAAACTTTCTCTGCATTGTTCTTGGAGCAATGCCTGGTGTTACAGGTGCCTTGTTCCTTCTGCCCAGGTCCTGGAAGGCACACTTGTCCTCACTGTGGGACAGAGTAAGAAGAAGAAGACCAGGTTCTCCACATCTGGGGAATGACTTGAATTTGCCTTGGTATCAGTTTTTTACCCATCTGGAAGATCATGATCCTGAAATTTATGAGGATCCAGAGAAGATGGTGGCCTTTGTCCCACGGGCTGTCACGTGGGCAGCTTCCAGAACCCTCCACAGCCACGGCACAAACCTTGAGGGTGAAGGACAGCAGTGGACACAAATCCCCGGGGGAGCACCGCAAGAAGTGGTGAAAGTGGAGTGTAAACTGGTCACTGGGGCTAAAGCTGTGTTTGTGGTGGTGACAAAGGACATGGGGTTGTCTCTTGCTCTCTGGGATTTTGAGTCCCACGACGTGACGTGTTCCCACTTTGGCACCAACAGTGTTTACGTGGAGTGCAGTGCAGAGCTGCCACTGTGTCTGCTGCTCACAGGTGAGGGGGCATGGAGCCATGGCTTGTCCTCAGACACCTTTTGGAGGGGGTTCTGCTGGTGTTCTTTCCTGTCTGCTGTTGGCTCATGGCTCGGGTGAAATCCAGGCGGAGCTGCTGCAGCTTTGCATCGTCCTTTGGGGGGAGAGGCACTGGGTGGAAATGCTTTAATAATGAGTATCTTTAATTATGGTTTGATTCTTTTCTTTA